AGGGTAGTGGGGGAAGGTAGGGCTCCGTTCCTCCGGAAATCCACAACCATCTCCACTGTCTTTAGAGCATTGAGCTCCAGGTTGTTCTGGCTGCACCACGACTCCAGATGGTCAGACTCCCACCTGTAGGCGGACTCGTCCCCACCGGAGATCAGTCCAATTAGGGTGGTGTCATCCGTAAACTTCAGGAGCTTGACGGACTGGTGACTGGAGGTGCAGCTGTTGGTGTACAGGGAGAAGATCAGAGAGGAGAGAACGCAGCCTTGGGGGGAACCGGTGCTGATGGTCCGGGAGGCTGAGACATGTTTGCCAGCTTCACGTGCACATGACTAATTCAGCTTCTTTCCGGGAGTTTTAGTGTGCTTTTTCCCCTAGCAGGTTTCCGTAGATCGTAGTTCCTTTTTCAACCCTGGTCCTGACACCTGCCGTGGCCCTGCTGCTGCCATCATCATCATTATTATTTTAAATATGAATTATATTACTGTAATCATAAACCAACATTATCCTCTCCTAAAGTATTTGTGCTTTCCCTCCCCACAGGCTTCTGTGGATGGCGGTTCTATCTGATGGCGGTTCTATGTGATGGTGGTTCTATCTGATGGTGGTTGTCCCTGCAGAGGTCCTGCTGTGCGCCTGGCTTACTACTCACAATTACTTGAATCATTTCTGTCATAGGAATTGCATGTATTATACATTGTTCATTCTGTACACATGGCATCCATTGTAGTCTGTCCATCCCGGGAGTGGGATCCCTCCTCTGACGTTCTCCATAAGGTTTCTTCCCTTTTTCCCTCTTGGAAGGGTTTTTTCATTTTTTGGGGAGTTTTTCCTGTGCCGATGTGAGGGTTTCGGGACAGAGGATGTCGTATGTGTACAGACTCTAAAGCCCTCTGAGGCAAATTTGTAATTTGCGATTTTTGGCTATACAATGTAAAATGAATTGAATTGAAATTTATATTTTGTAGCAATTCCAGCAGTACATCTCTCTGGCATATTGTCAATATTACATGTTATAATATATTTCCTGAGAATCACACTAATGTCTTTTGCAACTCGAGCCGAAGGCTTTCCTTTGAATGTACAATAGATCTGTCCAGTTTATTTTGCAAGTCGCCCCAAATTTGCTCGATGGGGTTGAGGTTCAGACTTTGAGGGGGCCAGTCCATCATTTTCAATGTTCAAACACTCATTTTTATATCTTTCCCCCTCCCTCCGTCCAACATGCACTCTTCGCTTGTTGCCAAACTGTTCAAACTTGATCAGCCCACAACAACACCAATCTTCCTTTGTCCATTTCTTGTGTTCTTTTGCAAATTTCAGGCGGTTCACTCTATTTTTCTCTCAGTAATGGTTTCTTTGCTGCTATTCTACCAACAAGTCCTTCTTCTCTCAGTTTCCGTCGCACAGTTCTTGAAGACACTGTTGCACAATCAGTCATTGTGATGTTGATCTCATCACGCAGTTCTCGTAAGGTCTTTCTTTGGTCCTTAAGACTAAGCATTTTGAGATGCTTCACTTGTCTGTCTCAAGGTTTCTTTTTTCTACCTCTCCCCTTTCGGTTCTGGTGTGAAATGGTGGCATCATTGCGGTCTAAGTGTACTTTACTGTGCTTGGACTGCATCTCAAGTACTTATGTGGCAGTAACTGACCTAAATCTCCTTATGATGGCTCTATTCTATGGTTTATACAACATAATGATGACCTTGTAGATATTTCATTGGTATTCGTCATATGCACCTATGAACCAAGTGTACGCACTCGCATCAACCTGATTTGCGCTCTCGAATTTTGACAGTTATTTGCCGCCATACGACTTGCACACACAAAGACGTGACTCTCTAGGTCGTACTCGACAAAAAAACGTTACTCCACTTCAGAGGTGTCAAGTACGAAGTACAAATACTTCGTTACTGTACTTAAGTAGACATTTTTGGTATCTATACTTTACTGGTGTATTTATTTTTCAGATTACTTTTTACTTCTACTCCTTACATTTTCACGCAAATATCTGCCCAACTTTCTACGTGCGTGTAATGTTAACGTTAACCCACAGTGGGTTACACGCACCTGAGGCAAGTAAATGGTTTCCAATCCACATATTTGATGCTCATGTGTTGATTCTTAAACAAGTATGCACTTTTAACTAATCACAAATAAAGGACAGTAAATAGTTGTGTGTTTATTTTGCTCACTCACGTTATAACAAGGTGGCATAAAAAGCTATATAAAATAATTCTGGAACATTTTGTTTGTTTGTTTTACTAAAGAATAGAAAAACAAAGAATAAGCACAAGTTAAACTCACCACAACACAAAGATTCCATCCATCTTCAAACCGTTCATCCTGCACACAGCACGCAGGGGGGACTGGAGTCAATCCCAGCCAACTTCGGGCGAGAGACCGGGTACACCCTGGATGGTCGCCAGCAAATAACAGGGCTAACACAGAGACAAACAACCATTCACACTCACCACCGACAGGCAATTTAGAGTTACCAATTAACCGGATCCCCAGAGCACGTCTTTGTACTGTGGGAGGAAGCCAGAGTATCCGGAGAGAACCCACGCAGACACAGGGAGAACATGCAGACTCCACACAGAAAGGCCACTGGGCGGAGTCAAAACCAGGACCTTCTTGCTGTGAGGCAACAGTGCTAACCACCACACCACCGTGCCGCCCGTTGTTTTAAAGATTTATAATCTTTATTGTGGGCTACTTGGATTGTGATGGTGTCTGTGCAAGCACTGACATACAGTGTGGTTAGGCATGATGTTCAGATACCACTGATACAATTTCACAGCAAGTCTGAATGCTTGCCGATCTTCCAAAAGCAGATGTCTGTGAGCTTCACCAGTCATCTACTGGATCACTGAGGCTACAGTCAAAGCCTCTTCTGCATTGTCCCCATCAGGTTGTGCATCTTGAAGAGAAATACAAAGCGTAGACCAAAATCAATCTCTCCAGTTATTTTGTATGCAAACAGTTGAATATAATGCTCATTATGACAGTTATATGCTATAGAAGGGTTTGTGTGTGTGTGTGTGTGTGTGTGTGTGTGTGTGTGGATGTGAGTGTAAAGTAATTTGTTTGTTTATGCAAATCAGGGCAGAACACCACAGTGCGCACGATACCGATGGAGAATAGTAAACAAAAAAGACTTCCGTTGTGATCTGGCAAGAAATAGAAAATGAAATTAATCAAAGTTAAGCTGAACTTCTAAGGGGGGTAAGGCGCCATTTTGGGGTCTGGGAGCCACCCTATAAATAATGGTAGGGAAACACAAAACATTACATTACATTTAGCTGACGCTTTTATCCAAAGCGACTTTAAACCCATGGCGTTTCACATTTTGCCCGGGGAGCAATTAGGGGTTAATCACTAGTGCAATTAGGGACACTTTGACTTGAGACATGGGGCAGCCGGGACTTGAACCACCAACCTTGCGGTTCCCAGCGCACCCGCTCAACCCACTGGGTCACAACGACCCAGAAACGACATTAATTAAACCATTTTAATTTAACTATATATAGCTTTTTTGTTTTCATTTAAAATGAAAAAAGTTGTACATATAATGTGGCACCAAAGTAAACTCATATATATACATATATAAGACATAAAATAATTAGCCAAAATATTTCAATGGATCAGATCAGAATTGTTGTCCAGTCGAAATTCGAAGTCGATCTTTAAAGAAGATAGAGGAGCAGCCTTAGTTTGTGATGCTGCTGAACTTTAATGGATTACACTGACAGGTGTATATTTAATATATTATTGGATATTCGATGGAAGAAACACATGACACGTTACTGAGGTAAACACTTAATTTGGGGTTGTATTACGTCACATTGCATAAGCTCTATAAGGTTTCATTAAGAACAGAGAAGGTTTGATAGGGAAAATGAATCAGTTGATATTTTAATGGGTAGGGCTACATTTTACATACACACCTATCGTTCAAACATCAAGAGTGTTGCAATCAGTGTGGTAGTCCTCGTTCAGTGGTAGTACTCGTCCAGTCCATGTCTATAATAGAGTGATTGTGAAGGCTACATACCGTAAGATAGGGGACATCATTAGTGCTTTAACCATGCTATTTTAAGTCTACAGTAATCAACAATGCTACAGTTAGATGGGTGAAATCATTAGGGATTAATATAGTATTTAATATCTTCATTGATCAATGAGGCTACAGTTAGTTAGGTAACATCATTAGTGATTAATATAGTATTTAATATCTACAATGATAAATGAGGGTACAGTTAGATTGAGAAGCCGGTTGAGAATCTCAATGACGGTCTCCTCATGTCCTTAAAACGTATAAGTTTAAATTTTAAATTTTAATTTTAATTTTATGTTAGTTTTAACATTAAGTTATGAGTATGAACTCTGTCCTCAAACATACTTAATGCTACCAGTGAACAAACATCAGTTTCTGACAAAAGTTTTAAAAGTTTAAAAGTTTTGAAAGATTAAAGGTTATGAACACTCAGCCTAGTTATAGTATAGTTATAGCTCATGTTTACCCGCTACAGATATCTTGCTTTTTTGTTGTTGCATTGAACCATACTGGGATGTTTGCTGACCCTACCAAAAACAATTTCACCAGCCGCCACTGGAACTGTTCAACCCGCAACAACATTTCTTTTGCAAGTCATGTAAGAAAATGAATGATCCCTTTCAATGCTTCATTCGTGTTAATTGGGAAAAGTGTAATTCCATCCAAAAAAGAAGCTTGGATTTCAGCTGTTGACCTCGATCCATATCATTTTTCATCGGTCAACATCCATCTCTGTAGAATATAATAGGAGTAGATTGTAAATTATTATGGAAAAAATCAAATCGACATGGAATAGTGCCAATTTATAACGGCATAATAAGTATTAACTGCAGTGGATATGCATGTCAGTTATAATAAATGAAGGCAATGTATGCGGATACGGACTCCGTTTCCCGAACTACGTTTCCCATCATGCATTTCGGAGGAGCGACCGCTAACAGGAGGAAGCGGAAACAAAAGAGGTTTCACAAAAACACAAACACATCTCCGGTTGTCGAAGTACACAGGGAATAACCAACAGCCATTGAATTCTTCAACGATAATATTAAAATTAAACTAAAGAGCGAGTCGGCACGAGTTGAGCAGCAAACTGCATCCGTCAACATGGCGCTGAAAAGAATACAGAAGGTAAATATGACCGGCTAGTTATGGTTGGCAGCTAACTAATTGTAGCTGACCCACTAGAGGCTAACGTAAGAGTTTATTTCCACAAAAGGGCTCATTCACAACCATTTTGAATGTACCCCTTCTCGAATGTGATTTCGAGCCAACTCCGTAGCGTCATTGGAAATAATTAGTCCGTTGACAGCTCACAGAACAAATACAGCGGACAATGAAAAAGTTTTGTGCTAGCTCGCGAACAATGTAATTAGCTAACCAATAATAGTCAACCGTGTCAGCTGAGGACTTTCTCCAAGAAGTGTTGGTTGGTGTCGTATTTACGGCAGTCTTTGAGAATAGGAAGATAACACGTTAGATAATGTTAGCTGTCCTCGTAAATGCCACATTTTAAAAAGTTTAAATTCAGCGTCAAGCCTCATATTTATGATCTAAACATACCGGTTTTGACGTTGGAGATTCTTTCGAGGGGAAGAGTCCACTCGACGTCTAAACGTCGCTTGATGCTGATGCGTTGAAACACAAAGAAAGCAAATTCCCTTTCCTTTGAAATAAAGTTTGTTTAAAACCAAACATAATTGTCTTCAGTGCCTGTTTTGTGCAAATCTGTGTCACATAGAAGAACTCCGTAGCAGTAGAAAAAAAATATTGAAGAAAAAAATCGTCGTTTATCTCAAATAACTGGGTGGTAAAATGACTGGATTTCAGAAGCAGTATGCCTACATTATGTTATAGCGATATTTTATGAGACAAATTATACCACAATTAGTTGTCAGAATGTGGAAAATAACGCATTAAGAATGCAAACGTCTTTGCACAGATGACAAACAATACCATTAAGTTATTATGTTTAAATTGGCAAAGGCCTTTTTAGAATGTATCAATTGATCAATTGAGTTGAAAGAAACAACTGCGTTGATAAATATAATCAGCCTCAGTCATGAAAAGAGGGCAATCACTGACAGAAACTCAAACTTCAATTATCAACAGGAATACCCGGGAGAAAACATCCCTTTGGTGCCACAAAGTTGGAGTCTTCAGCAGTTTTTACTGACGTCAAACGGTGCTCGTTCAGCCCAATAACTAACTTCAGTTTCATATTTCTGCTCCATTGAGCAGGAGCTGCATGACCTGCAGAGAGACCCTCCAGCACAGTGCTCTGCTGGACCCGTGGGTGATGACTGTGAGTAACGTTACACATGCACCTTTCATATCAGAATTTCTTCCGCATCACACGAGTTCAATTGTTTTTCATTATAAATGTCTTTAAGCGGAAACACGTTCATTTATTGTGGCACCTACAGAATTACATTTGAGCCGTGAAGCAACCTCTTAGCTTAGAAAAAGAAGTGAATGAACTACATAGTCAGTGACTGCAAATTTTCAAGCTCAAATAAATTCATTGGGCATCAGCAACTAAGTTAAAGACTCTTCCAAATGAACAGAAACTAAAATTCTAATGAAAACCTTTTTAAATCCAACAACAAATTAAATGGGAATTTATATTTCTGTATATGTATTGTGATAGAATTGAGTTGATGGGCCTCATTGTCACCAATACTCGATGGAGCTATTTGAGTCTGTGTTGGCCTGATATGCAATACTGCTATCAGTGTATCCCAAGGGGATACTCTTGCAGCTGCAGTTGAATTAGTTGCACTTTGAATAATCCAGGGGGAAAGGGAAGGTGGCCAGCCCAGAAGTCATCGACAGCTTTGTGGACACGGGTGACTGACCTTTTAAGGTGGATAAGCTATTTTATTATTATTATTATTATTTTATTCACCTGATATCCATTTCTTTTTTCCTTCATTGCTTTTAGTGTTTCATTGGCAGGCGACCATAATGGGTCCGGTAAGTATCACAGTATTGCTTAAGGCTTTAAGTACTCTTGTTCTGTGCTTGTGCAGCCTTAGCTTTGCATCCCCCTGTATAACGTAGTTACTGCAGTTACATTGTGTGTTTACTAATATTTGTTCAGCATTTTTAGCAAATATAATAATAATAATAATAATAATAATATCAGTAATGATAAAGGCAACTTTAAAATAACTCTAATCTGGAATATTTGTCATCAGTAGGGACGAACCATATCTATACACTGATTATCTCAATATTCTGATTTGTGATTCAAGTATAAATCTTTTTAAATCCATCAACAAATTAAATATTAATTCATATTTATGCTAATTCCAACACTTACTTATTGCTATTTTTTGGGAATAGTTGTAATATTAGTTGATCTGTGCTGATTGTCCTTCTTTTTGACAGGGTGACAGCCCTTACCAAGGAGGAGTTTTCTTCCTCACAATCCACTTCCCCACTGACTACCCATTCAAGCCACCAAAGGTACGTGCTGGACTTCAGTCTGTCATACTCTTGAATTGATTGTGGTCGTTGTGCAGTCAGATGAAGCCTCTGGTCCGGAAAACGTCTCCTATCTCATATGTTTGGAAGGGATTAAACCTGACAAATTGTGCATTCCAGGATTGTAATGAGGTTTGTGCTTAGGCAGTATCCAGTATGAAACTTGAAGGGTATTATCAAATATCCCAATATGTTATCAAAACATACCACGATCTCTTGCTTATAAAATGCCATATGTCATCAAAATGACCTAATTGAATTTGTTCATAAGTCACTCATTTCAATTGTTTATCCAAGCCTCTGAATTCCGGTCACTGGGCTGAAAGAAGAAGGTTACACAAGTCGATGCTCACAGTCTTCAAAATGAGAGAGAGGTGGGGGCGGGTGGGGGCTCTGCGGGGGGATGCAAACCATGAACATCGTGGGCCTAATGAATGTATTAAAACCGTTGCTGTGCCATACTGTCGTAGGAATTGACTGTACGTAATATAATATCCATTGCAAAGGATTGAAAAAGAGCACCCTCCTCGCTTGTTGCCTTTAGCATATATGGAAAGCTTTAGAAATACAGAATATATAGTATAGCGTTAATTCCTTACTAGTTCAAATTTAGGAGTGACATAATTATGAAAAATACATATATTTTGATTAATATGAATATTACCCGCATTGGCAGGTGCCCTGAAATGTATACCTGCCACATCTAACATTGTTCCAGTGTGTATTTCATTACCTGTGGGACATTGGCACTCCTCTGCTTATACATGGCTTTTCTTTTCACAGGTAGCATTTACAACTAAGATTTATCACCCAAATATAAACAGCAATGGCAGTATCTGTTTGGACATTCTACGGTCCCAGTGGTCTCCGGCATTAACAGTGTCTAAAGGTAACTACAATCTCTTTGGAGCTGTAACGGCAATAGTACGACACTGTCATTGTTTTCATCTCATCAGGGTTTTATGTTGTTATCGTTTGTGAGGTCACCCAATGGTGTGACCTTGACGTATTTTTTTTATCACACTTCTTAAATCTCCGTCAATTCATATTATCAATATTCAAATCAATTTGGCTTCATTAGCCTGACAGACGTTTAGTTAAAAATATTTTAAATTTGATAATCTCTCTCTCAATGTCAATTTTAAAACTACCCCCTTCCTTAATCGGCACAATCCTTTAAATAGACTCTTAAATGTACAAATATTCCACTGTATGCTTCCAGTTTCTCTAGTGGGTATTACTTCTGAAAGCAGTGCTGTTCAGAATATAAACCTTTTAGTTTCGGTACAGCATACTCACCTGCTGACAGGGGGCACGGCAAACAGAACCAATCCATCAAGGCAACGGCGGCTGGATTCGAATTGTCAAATTTGCACAGGAAGGTCCCTAACTTAGTGAAATGACCTAGAAGTAGTGTAAGTGACTGCTGTGATGAGAGCTGTTAGAATTATCTAATGCTAAGGAAAGGAGCTTCAATGCTTCCCTACTTAGCTCCTTTAGCATAGGCTGCATGACTCAGCCTATAAAAACACATGAAGACATCTAAGATGCTTCTTTGTAGTCCATCTTCAGAGAAATTGTAATTTCCCCGCCGCAGACTGACGTCATTAACATGCGTGTCCCGTCACATCATAGCTACGTAACTTAGTGATCTACAGCTTTCCTTGACCCCGTGACGTTTTCCACAGAGGTCAAGGAGAAGTGGTTAGGAATTAAAGTTAGAAGGTAATTTTTTTTGACCATTCAAATCCAGCCTGCAAGTAGGGATCTGTTTGTGGTAGGGTTCTTTGAAACATCATCTATCAACATGTCAACTAATGAAATTACTCTTCCTTCCAGTTTTATTGTCCATATGTTCGTTGCTTTGTGATCCAAACCCAGACGACCCCTTAGTTCCAGACATAGCACATATGTACAAGAACGACAAAGTCAAGTGAGTAAGCACTGAGCTCTCCACTGATATCAATGTGAACAATGTGTGTTCCTGATATCATGCACTCTTCTTTTCTCTCCTCAGATACAACAAACTAGCAAAAGATTGGACCCAAAAGTATGCCATGTAAAAAAATGAATAATACCATGCTGAGAATTTTTATTTTTCCTTTCTTTTTTGAGGTCACAACACACTGTAAATTATAGTAAGTAATCATGTGTAACTTCCATCTCAATGAACTGTAGTCAAAAAAAAGTTATTGATCGGAGAACATTCCTTTTTTTTGGGAAGCATGATGAGAAAGATTGCCTATGTTCCTTTCATGGAGACCGCCATTTCAAAGTTTGGCATTATAGTTTTTGTTGACATTTATGCCTAACACAAGTTGCTTTACAGCATTTTTTAAGTCAAACTATTGGATTGTGGGACATAACAACAAGCCTTCTGGTCAGAGGAGCTGAGTGCAGCAAGATAGCGGACATGTTGGACAACCGGGAAGTCCCAGAGAACCATGGGATGTGGGAGGGTCAATGCCAAATATGTAAGCCCCTCATACTCACACATGTCATGTCGTCGGAGAAGCAGGGCTTTTTTTACTTTATTGTTTTTTACTTTATAGTTATTTTGCATCATGTAGCTGAAATTACCCTGTAAATGGGAACGTATTACTGTCACTTTTCTGCTTCTCCTTTCCTATTATTGTTGTGATTTGTATAGTATTAAAAAATAATTTAAATGAGTTGAAAATTAGTTCAAATTACAGTGTAAATCTATCATTAAAATTATGTCCTCATTCACACTGAGAATAGAAGTGACGTTGGCTTTACACAGGCATGAGTGTCAGATTGTCAACCCTAAGGGTTAAATGTGTTCTTCTCCTCTCTGTCTTTATTTCTGTCTTTGCTATTGAAATTGTCCAAATCCAATGTAGTGCTTCTGTGTGCACCGAAAACTGAGGGGCACCTTTTCTACTCATTAAAGAATGGTACCGTTTTTATCACAGAGTTGAATGTTGATGTGGGGTGGGCCGCTTGTCCTTCTGTTGACATATTTTGGTTTCAGTAGGGACAAAATAATACGGATGCACCCTAAAATAGGTACATTTTTAGAATTTGCGCGAGTGAGATTTGAGCACTGCTCTCACATTTAAAACCGGTAACAGAAAATTGATCGCGAATCATCAAGGGAGACTATAAACGATTAGACTGATTGACAAAAACCTCTTGGGCAACAAAATCAAATTCCCAACATGACTACTTGCATGCAAGCATAAGCACAAAGCAGAGAGAATTAACAATATAATGATCATTTACAATAAATATCGGCCTCTTTAATCGTCTCTCAGGAATCGGGAAACATTTATTGCCAAAATATGTCAAACATACAAGGAATTTGTCTTGGCGGTTGGTGCGTGACAGTAGACAGTGTAACAATAGACAACAAGACAGCAGTGCACAAGTAATACAATAAAATGAAATGCTAATGCAATGGGTTAGTAGAATAAGGCTATGGGTTAGTATAAAATAAGAATAAAGTTAAAGTTAATTAAAAATATTTAAAAAGTTAAATATTGAAAAAGTGCACTATCGATTGTTCATTCTCAAGAATGAACAAGAGCATTGAGAGGTGGACATAGGACACACCTCTTAAGGCACTGGCATGCTTCTGCAACGGCGTCTGCGGCTTTTCGTGCAGTCGTGTCGATGGACTCGTTTTAATTCATGGTTCTAAAAGGCTTGCGCGTGTTGCAGAGCAATTCACCGCCAGAACAACGGGTGGAGTAATGTTTTTTGTCGAAGACGACGAGAATGACGTCTTTGTGTGTGGAAGTCATTAGTTTGTTTTTTATGTAACCCTATATATAAACAGACCTTTTTGCCCCCTGCATCGCCACTGCTGCTTTTTATAGCCTTTTTTTGCAGACATGTTTGTCCTGTATTTTCCTCCACAACTTTGTACACCCCTTGACCGGCAATACCGAGATTTGCGGAGATCTCCCTTGCGTAGCTTTTCACGCTAGTCCAGAAAAATTGGTCGACACATGCAAGGACGCAAGGAGGGGTAAAAAAAAGCATGCAAGGGGCTCTTGCTTGTGCGTGTCCCTGCGTTTCTCTGAAAATGCATAACCATAAACTAGGCTTTACACAGCCTTTGGAGCCTTAAAGTCTATTTTTGACGTGAATAAGACTGAAACCGGACAAAAAGAGCAACGGCCTATAAGGGCCACGGACGCCTAGGAGCTCTGATGGCCCCATGTTTCTATGTGGCAATTGGTATTACGTTTTAAACATTTCAGTAATGTGACTGTGAATGGAGAGCATGGTTGTCTTTCAATCAAAGGGATGGCCCTTTGAGAAATACAAAGGCCATTCCGGTAACCAACTGTTGAAGCCATATCTTAAAGAAGGAGCCTGTGTCAAAAATAACGGTTCAGTACGGTTATTATTTCAGTTTACGGCTTCTGTGCATTTTCCCTTGTGGGCAATTTGTTTTAAATCAAAGGATCCCATCTGATGCAAAGCAGACCTGGGCTTTTTCCGTGAGTCAATTCAGCCCTTAAAATAATCTCCCTCATGATTGTTCAAATAATTGTTGGAATGCTTTTAAGCATCCTATTTTTGACACTGTTTTATAATGGATTTTTTTTTCAAATCCTTCTTCTTCCTCAACTTTGAATTTACAGCCACAAATTAAACTTCATTAAAGCCTAAACTATTTTTTTTAAATCCGCCTTTTCATATCTATTCAAGTTGTTTTTAATATCACTGATTATGTTTCATAACATCAGTGATAATGCCTGAGTGGTACTGACATATGCACATAAACAGATAACTGGAGGGAGTTAGTGAAGTCATGTTTTCCCTCCTCTCTGTCTGTCTGTGTGGCTCTCTATATCCCCCATTTTAGAGATTTTTTAGAGGGCCCCAGATGTGTATGTATGTGTGTGTGTTTTAAAATGCTTATCTATTTTATATTGTTAATTCTTGGCTGTCTTATTTTACCTCTACTTATTTTATTCTTATATTGCACCAATGGACCAAGTTAAATTCCTCTCTGTAACGTATGTGCCAATAAATGGCTTCTGATTCTTATTCCGATCTGGGATTCGCATGGTGTGCCTGGCTTTGTTTGTTTGCCAATTACTGTCAGTACTGTCCATTTCTGTCCAATAAAAATATTTTATTAACTGGTTGTTCAGCAATTAGTTATACATTATAACTAGTAGATTATGCAGTTTAATGATTTTAGCCTTTAACATTTTAATGACGGTATTTTCTCATTTCTGTATTTTCAGCAATTTTGGGAAATTTCTTTCAGCTTTTCTCATTTCTGTATTTTCATCAATTCTTTGAAATAAATTTCAGCTTTTAGCTTTCACCATCCATGCTTCGTCCTTTAACCACGCCCATCTGGGTGAGTTGACCTGCTCCCACAATGCACCGGGGGACGCTGAAGGCGCCTTTTGCAGCCCATACATGTCAACAAGGAGGAGGGGAGAAAGCAAGAGGCTCCGCTTCTATTAAATACATTTATTGCGCAAATATATATATATAACGCTGGATTTGTGAGACAATACGTTTCTTTCATTCTCTGTTCAACGACCTGTAACGTGTATTTCTATCGACATGGCTCCGTTCAGCCTGGTGACAGCCAGCGTTAGCTGGTTGGCTAAGTCCTTCGGTGTTTTCTCCAGCACAAGGTAGCTAACTTAAAGTTACTCCACTCTGTTAGCTAACATTAGCTCAACTTTTGGCAGGGAAGTGAGCCGCAACCTAGCAGTTTGCATAGCACGTTCAATATGAATTACGTTTTTCTCAAACTCGAATAGTTTGAGTATCGTAGAATAACGTTAGTTATCGTTACCTTTATATTTAAGACGAGCGAATTAAAGCTAACGCTAGTCGGTGACCCTCAAGACAACCAACGGTAGGTTAGCTTAGGATATATTAATATTATCTTAATGTAGTATTATTGAACAGCCAGCAACGATTTCAGTTAAATTGAATGATTCCAATTATGGTGGTAGGGAATTGTTTTATTGTGTCCATATCTAACAGGAACAAAGGTTTAGCTCCATCACTAAAGGTGATGCACGTCTGGTGCGCTAAGGTTGGAGCTGGAACCAGCAGATTAACCCAGGACTTGAAACCATTATGCAGATGGTCCACTACCAAGCACTACGTGACGTAAAGAAAACCACCTCCCTTCGCATTTATTGGAAGAAGTGCTGATATTTGCTGAATAAATAAGAGAGCAATAAGTTAGGATTGGGACTGCTACTAAGTTTTTATTTTTGATTCTTGAATTTTCGCCGATTATTTCTTTGTGTTATTAATTCACTGTTTCCCGTCTTTGAAATGTCACTTGAGTAAATGACAAAGAGGAAAACTTCTCTACCTTTAAAAATGTTGTGTGCGTGTATGTAGGTGTACCAGTGTTCTCCCAGCTGCATGCCTCCACCCAGTTAGATGCCTGACCTCTCAGGCCAGCGCACCCCCAAAGAAACCTCTGAATGGATACCTGAGATTTATCATGCAACAGAAGCCGGTCCTGACCAGACACAATCCAGGTATATGCAATGACACAACAGCTCGTACTGTAAGCTAGGGCTGGATATTAAGTATTTATTTGTTGGCTAATTTATTTAGTCGTGGCGAGACTGCTGTGCGCAGCAAGAAGTGGACAATTGTGAACATGAATACAATTTTCCAGACTTTCTTGTTGGGGTTGCGCTCCTCCTATATAATGGTAGGGGAAACACTGTAGGGGATATTGTAGAACAGTACATAACATGAATCTCCTATGTCATGGAGACCGGACGAGAAGGAACTCGCCGCCACCATTGCTTGTGTGAGAAATGCTGCTCCATTCACAGGTGTAAAAACAGTACTCATGGAGATGTGTTTAATGAACAGGTTAATGCTCATCTCTGATATTGTCGTGCTGCAGTGTGAAATAAGCTTATTTAAATGTAATTTCAGAGCACATGGCTGATCTTGATGAGTCTGAGATGATAATATTTCAAGTGAAAGACTCAAATGCTACAGTTCTAACTTCAATAAACCTTTTGACTTTCCCTCAGAAATCAAATCTGTGGATATCGTCAGGAAAATTGCCCAGCAGTGGAGAACTCTGAGCGCTGAACAAAAACAGGTATTTTCTAAGTTAAAGTGTTCAAGAGTATTTACTGGATGCCTATTCAAGTTGTTGAAGTGCTTTGAGTGACGACATTGTAGCAAGACAATGGTTTCAAGTGACAAATCATCTCTCATCCCCTCTGATTTATCCTCTGTTTTCATAGAGTCCCTCTACATATGTGTTTTATCAGTCTGTTGTCGTGACCTATGTTTTGCTTGGCTTCTTTCACCCGTGCAGCCTTTTGAGGAAGCCTCTTTGCGGGCAAGGGAGCAGTTTAAGGTGGACCTCCAGCGCTACAATGCCCAGCTGACCCCAACACAGATCCAGCAACAAGCCCTGGAGAAGAGACAGAGGATGGCCAAGAGGAAGGCCCTCCGCAAGAAGAGGGTAGGAAAAATAGGACATATGGAAGAGGGAAATGACAGCTTTGAGACAGATTTTTCTATGTGCTCTCAGAAAAACATTGTGTGTGCGTGTGTTTTCTCTCCAGGAGTTGACTAACCTCGGGAAGCCCAAGCGTCCTCGCTCTTCATTCAACATTTACATGTCGGAGCACTTTGAGGAGGCCAGAGGAGCCACCACACCGGTAAGTAGCTACTGCTCCTGACATTTAAACAGACAGTTGAGGTATCTTTCACAATGATGTACGGACTGGTCTGCCAGTGAATGGCATTACAGAGAATTTGCTGTATTTACCGATTTTACAATCTATTTACAAATGTATATCCTAGTTAGTTCTGAAATAGATTTAATTATACTGGATGCAAATTCAATATTTTCTTTACTGTATCAACGCATCATGGAGGTCTGATTTTATTGGCCCAGTAGTTGTCAACCAGTAGTATTTAGGGAACTGCTCAAGTAGCTATCTCAGGGCCTGAAAGTACAGCTCATCTGAAATAGGATTTCTTTAAAATAGGCATATTGTGGTAATTCTACACGTTAATGTGGCTGTCTGGCATGTCTACTAACCCCCAAATGCTAGAAAAAAAGAAATAAAAAACACTTCCGCGTTTTTAATGATTCCTGTAAATAATGAATACACATTAAACGACTCATACCGAGATTTGCCAACATTAGCAGACAAAGTGGAATTCTCCCTTACATTGCTGTCTACCCACCACGTCTTCTGGGCCCCACCACATTCTCCCAAAGCAGTTCCGCACAATTCCGTACATCGCGTCCCAGGCTTCGAAGGAACAAGGACAAAATGCATTATACTTTTTCCTCTAGGTTTACAGCAGCCCCCCCCCACTCCACCTCAATGTGGAGTGGGGGGGGGGGCATTGTGCTTGATTTATTTAGGTCATACTTATTATCCTTATTACCCTATAATTTAATTTTCTATTCAGATCACAAGAAAAGTCATTAAAGAAACTACTAGAAACTGTCTTAGTATCTATCTATATATTCTTGAAGCCTATTAAGCTGGTTGATGGCTTGATCGACAGACACAGTTGAGTATCGTCTGCATAACAATGGAAGTTTATGCAGTGTTTTCTGATAACGTCGTCCAAAGGAAGCATATACAGGGTAAATAAGATTTGTCCAAGCACAGAACCTTTTGGTACTCCGTAACTAACATTGGTGGTCTTCGAGAATTCCCTGTTTACGAGCACAAACTGGGATCGATCCGAAAAATAGGATTTAAACCAGCTGAGAGCAGTTCCTTTAATACCAATCAAATGTTCTAGTCTATGCAGCAGGATACTATGATCGATGGTGTCGAATGCGGCACTGAGGTCCAACAAGAAAAGAGATGAGTCCTTGAGTCCCTGAAGACCGATTCATAATATCTAATAAGGACGTGCTAACTAAAGGAAAAACTTCCTTCAGCAGCTTAGTTGGAATCGGATCCAAGAAACAAGTAGAAGATCCAGTTGACCAAGGTTGATGGAAGAGAAGCCAAACAGGCATCAGGGCGCACTGCTGCATCCAAGGTTCCTACATCCGAGGACAGGTTGGCACTAGTTGAAGGCAGGAGACCATTGAAGAATCATTGAAGAAATTCATGAAGTCGTTACTACTGAGGTCCAAAAGAATACACGGCTCGACAGCTGTGACTCTGTCAGTCTGGCTACAGTGCTGAAGAGAAACCTGGAGTTGTTTTTATTTTTCTCTATTGATGATGAGTAATAAGATGCTGTTGCGTTACGGAGAGCCTTCTTATATGTTTTAAGGCGGTCTTGCCACTAGTCTAGATTCTTCTTCATTTATCTCATGTCATTTCTGTTTCTACATGGTCGCATGCGAAAACACTCATGTGTGAACCCTCCCACCAACAGACAGGGAGCGCGCCATAGAAACTGGTGGTGTCCCCCCAATCTAGTAGGATGAGCCAGAATGCTACAACATGCAGCCAGGACACGCGTGATACAACAATGAAAAATAGTCCTTGAAATATTTTTGCCAATGTGCTTCATTCAGGCAAAGATGAAGTCGCTGATGGAGGACTGGAGGAATCTGTTGATTCATCAGAAACAGGTTTGCCACAAAATTTTTATTTTTATTTAGTCCATGACACTTGTGCAGCCTTACACATGTAAGCAATAGTCTCTGTGTTGTGCAGTATCCAGATGCTCTTTGTGTTCCACATCACAGGTTTATGCACAGCTGGCAGAGGATGACAAAATTCGCTATAAAAATGAGATGAAGTCGTGGGAGGATCACATGATGGAGATTGGACGAGAAGACCTCATCCGAGAGCAGACCCTTTCCAACAAGAAAAGAACTGCTGCAAAGACGGCTAAAGCTAAAGTAGTAAAGAAGGCAGCTGCCACAGGGAAGTCAAAAACAACCAGGAAGACCGCAAAGAGTAGCTCTGTGAAAACAGTTAGGACTATTAGGAAGATATAAGAGGTGTTTATCTCACCAAAGGGAAAAATTTGTGACAGCTGAAGCATAAGTTGTGATGAGGCTCGGTTTCACCCAACTTCAAACTCACAAGCTTCCCAGTTGGCATGAATGCTTGTAGGTAGAACAAGAAAACAACCATTACAGCATCTTTAAATCCTTGTCACATGTGTTCAGTAAAAAGTACACCAAATAAACCTTGATTCCAGGATCTTTACTAGCATCCAAATGATGTATGAGTGAGATTGAGAGTGGAGGAAGTAAAGTGAGGAGTCACACTGTTTATACATTACTGTTTTAACGCTATGACGCTTAAGTAGTATGAAGCTTACTGGTGCACTCCCAAAATAAACTTCATTTTCTTCATTTTGCTATTTCATAAAACATTGTTATTCTTCAACCAACCATCGGTTAGGTAATGTCTAAACACATACTATGTGGCCATATCAGGGCCCGCCGCTACGGAAGGCATACACCTTTAGAAGTACCCAACTGATTTATTGTATACGAAGAGGCTCAGCAAGCATTGCAATTTGTCGGTGTACTAGTAGTGAAGTCAGAAGCAAAACAGGCCATCCAATAATTGTAAGGAACCTGAGCGAGTGCATGACATCACATAAACATAAACCTGTGAAGTGCAGACGAGACCCTGGCTCCCATTGGTGCTCCCATTTGTTTGTCTTGCAGCTTTTTGTGTGGCATTACCTCACAGTCACAACCTCAAACTGTGAAATACTACTTTGTGTCATTTACGGCACGAGTAACATCTGAATGACTCATTTGTTTTTAAGTTCCAAATTCTCCATTTTTCATATGATTGTTCACATATCACATGTTCTTGTTTTGTTAACGTCTGGTGATACTATGTTTCTTCCCACTGCTCGTTCATCCAATTGATTAAATGGCATACCTTCCTTTATACTCATCAGCCAATGTGTTATTAATCCTGTCCAGTCCACTATTTTCCTAGTCCTCATTTTTGTAATGAACACACCTGTAGATTAAGAACAACCAACTGTGACTATTAACGGTTGCTTTTGCTACCAGAATGTATGTAGATCCACCAGTGTTTACTACACTGTGCACATGTGCTGTGTATTTACTGAATAAAGATGTACATACACCTTTCTACCAGTGCAAAAACAAAGCACTTTCTCTAGAGGCCCCATTTCTTTCCGCTATATCATCCATAAGAATCAAGTTATACTAAAGAAAAAATACTAAAAAAAAACAAGTTTTAACAAAACAGTTTCATTGATGCTACGATAGTTGACAAATAGTGCACATTCACTTACTAAGACTCCTTAAATGTAACCGCTCAATTAAAGTGAATTATTTATAATTTATCAAAGATTTGCTTTATTCTAAATAAATAGTTCTCTTTTTTGTTTGCTTTGGTAATGATGCCTCAACTTCATAGAAATTGTACCATAAGAGTGATTAACCCGACGCTAATACAGTTATCACTGACCACAGCTCATCTGGGTGGAATCTTTGAAAGTCTGAGCCAGGAGAAACAGTAAAATGCAGTAAAACCGATATAGGGCAGGAGTCCCTTCTGGGACACAAGTTGGTGATCTACTGAACCAGGATCTGCTCCAGCTCAATGACACGTCTGAGAGGTTTACTGTCAAGGCCACAAGTATTTGAACTGTGATATAAATTCTAAATATTTTCTTCTATAAGCAACTCCACATTTTTTAACTTAAAGTAATATTTTATTCAAGTGAAGTTTCACCTTTAATTCCTTTAAACAGTGTATCTTACTGTACTTACTTCCTTTGTTTTAATAGCTGGACCAACGTTTTTCAAAAAGTACATGACCTGAAAGGGCTTCAAGAAACTTGCCAAAATGTAGGCAACACAGGGAAGTGTTTCCCACAGATCCAACGTCAATGTGTGGAGGCTGACGGGGTGACCGCTGAACTGGAATAATTCGTTCAATATTCATTTGTAACACAGAACTTTATTGGAGTAAATACAAAACAGGGATTCACGCCTATACAAAGGTCGTAGTAAAAGTACACATTTCACACCTTATACTACTTGTTACAGCCTACATGCGCAAAGTCTGCAACTTCTGTAAGAGTCACGGATTTTGCGGGGCTTGTTAAAAAAAAGTCACGCGGGACAGACGCGATGTGCACGGAGGGGAGAGGCTGTGTGTGTGTGTGTGTGTGTGTGTGTGAGACGCGTGGGTGACAGAGACGGGGAGAGTACGGAAAGGAAATAAGAGTTAAAAAAATAAATATACACCAAACGCAATGTGTGGCGGCCGGTGTTGAATCTGTGGCGCACCGCCACAAATTAGTCTAGGAGGGAAGTTTGGAATTGGATATGTAGTTCATATAAATACTTTACAGCTGCTGTTTATTTGCTCTGTGAAGCTCATGAGTGAAATGAAATGATGTTGAGGTAATAAACAACAGGCATTACTGGAAATCATATAATGTATGTAGGTTGACTTTATACAAAAAAAAAGACCAATTACAGTTGTATTTATTATACATTTTTTTAGAACACCATTAAAAATACCACACCATACAAAACAGACAAGGAACATCAGATACATAAAATAAAATCCAGCTCAGGAATAGCAATTGCACTCATCATGAACGTTTTGATGAGATCAGCTTTGTGTTCTGAAGGTTCTTCCATGGCTGACACAAGAGAAAGCTGTCCTACCACGTTTGACCAAATCCTAGTACCTGGTAGGCCCCAGATCTTAACAGGGCCATCAGTGAAGCCACGGGTACAGCAGTCCAGGAATGTACATTTACTTTGCACCATTGAGTTTAATGTAAGTCGCTTTGGATAAAAGCGTCTGCTAAATGACCTGTAATGTAATGTAATGTAATGTGTCTATTGAACCACAGACATTACAATAAAGGAGCACAATTAGCGAATTGTCAGACTGATACACTAAAACAACCACAATTGAGTTATCAAAGCATAAATAAGTTTAAAAACCGGCTCATTGGTTTTGTTTTGAATAAAAATGACTTTGTACAGAGAAGGCGTCGGATGTCAATGTGAAAGTCCTCTGTAGTCCCAATCTTCCACTTACATGGTGTGGAGCTGGGGTGTCTCTTGCTGGTGTTCAGTCATCAGTGAAATCAAAGCATAGAAAAGATCCAAACGGTGACTGAGGGGAACCTATATAGCTGCCTAAAAAAGGACAGTTGGTCCAATACGCCTTCAACCAGCTGTCCTACCCTCCTCACTGATATGTCAGCGTGGTAACAAAACAACAGATCGGGAGTCCTGCAAAGAGTCGCTCGCGCATTGGGAGACAGGAGATCAGGGGACTTTCTGCCAGTCTCCTGTGCCGTAGGAGACAGGAGATCACAGGGCTTGCTGCTGCGTTGCAGCCTGTTTCAGTAAGACCTGGAAGTCAGGAGACAGCACCAGTTTGTGCTGGACGTTTCCTAACACCATCATCTCTCCGGTTCGACCATCGGACAGACGCACGGACACCAGTTCCTGCAGATGGAGAAGGACAGATGGACTCTGCATTTAGTTTTTTATATTGTAAAATATGTACTTGATTAAGATTCTTGGAACACATCATCTGGTATTGTGGGTTTCTGTGTTGGGTAAATGTATGAAAGAGAAAAAAAATTAGAACATTTTTCAGCCCAAATCCATTGAACCATTTTGCGATGTGTTTGACGCACTTAGTTCAGAGCTTGGATAGAATCAGTTGCTTTCTTAACAATAAAAGCTTTAAGGGCTAAACAATTTCACTGAAATCTCTTACAAAACTGTATTTTCATTGAGGACAGGATGATTTTTTGTTGCTTAATTTCAGTTCATTACATCTACATCAACTAGACTGTCCCAGTCCCAGAATGAACGGAACAGAAAGAACCAATGAAGGCAGCTCATTATTCCAAGTCCGAACACCTGTGAATGGCAGGTGTCAGTGAAAATATCAGCAGAGAACCTGGTAGTACAACCAAAGAAGCCACTGGTGCAGTAATTTCCATCCATCGTCCAACTGCTTATCCTGCACACAGGGCCGCGGGGGGCTGGAGTCCATCCCAGCCAACTTCGGGCAAGAAACTGGACTGGTGGCCAGCCAATCACAGGGCTAACACGGAGACATACAACCATTCACACTCACATTCACGCACCTACGGGCAATTTAAAGTCCCCAATCAACCTGATCCCCAGTGCATGTCTTTGGACTGTGGGAGGAAGCCGGAGAACCCGGAGAGAACCCACACAAACACGGGGAGAACATGCAGACTCCACACAGAAAGGCCACTGGGCGGAGTGGAACCAAGGACCTTCTTGCTGTGAGGCGACAGTGCTAACCACCACACCACCGTGCCGCCCTTGGTACAGTAATTTATTGTTTCTTATTTATTTCTTATTTGTTAAAAGGGAAATTGTTTGAAATTTGTTTGCATTTTTTGGAAAACGTATGCCTTTTGTGGTTTGACCGTTTCAATCGTAGTTGGAAATAGTTGTCCGGTATGTCCTTTGGGGTACGAGGCCATTTCAAGTTTGGCCGGAGTTTAGAAAGAAAATCCAAGAACTTGACTCGCACGCGCACACACAAAGCACCTGCAGGAAGGAGAATGCAGCTCCCTCAGAGACGTCCATGACAATGTGACCCAGCTTCAGCTCCACTTTTCCTGACTTCCTGATCTGCAGTTTACCCAGAAATCCCTCTGGTAGTTGAGAGAGCACAGGACAGCCCTCCTTCGCCACAGCCTCCTGGGGGGGGAGAGTGTTTTTGATTTTCAGAAAACCTTTATTTTACATAAAACAATATCAATAAGTAGACAATATCAGCGCTTCGGGACGAACGGCAGAACATTCAATACCACCGCCACCACCTCGCGTGCCTTCTCCACGAAGATGACCGCCGCTCGGTTCATCCATGCAGCAGACTTCACACTACTGTGACCCACCAACCCCCCGATGGCCAAACCGCAGTCTTCCACACGTGAGCTTCACGACGGGCTTCGCGTCAGCCCCGTGAGGTCCGTCATGTAGCATGCCGATTGGCTACACCTCACGATTCGATTCCGATTAAGAGGTCAACAATTTTGATTCTAAACAGATTATTGATTATCAATTCTAAATTGATAAAACGATTATGGATTCATCTCGATTTTTAAAACATCGGAGTTTGCTACGCAGAGGTTGCTAATCACTTCCTTCTGTGTTTGATAATTAAAGAAAATCAACAGATGAATTACCTTCTCTAATTTTTTATAAAGAGAAAAAAATCACATTTTCTTCACAGACTTTCTATCAATAATGCAATGACCAATGCAGCTTGCTTTTCAACACAATATGGGAGTAACATAAAAAACATAACCGTGCTAAATGAAATCACGGCAGTGTGCCCCGAAAGTGCAACATAGTAAAGATGCTTAATTTCCAGTTAATATCTACCGTCCCGTATATGAGAATAAGATAACGTGTCCCGTTTTGAATCAATACGGGATGGGGTTTGTCCCGTTTTTTCTGAGTTGTCTTCAATGCAGCATCCCATGCAAATAATCTCAGCAGAATTTGGTGGGACTCATCATATTCTGCCTTTTCTGTAGGTAACCCTACGCACATGTGTGTTTATTGCGCTTAGTGTATAGCAGAGCATCAGCAGGCCAGTTGAGTTGAGTTGAGTATTAACTCCCTTTAGCAGCTTGATATATTATGAGAAGAATTGAGGTGTAACATGTGGGGAGGACCTTTTCCATATAATATATATATATATATATATATCCATATTATAGCTCCACTAATAGATCAGCAGCAAATGTTTGAAACATCTGCATGGTTTTCCAAGAGCAATGCACTACACATTTTTGATAGAAAGCAACTCCAAACATGTTGCCATGGCAACTCACCTGGAGTTGTAGATGTGCAGGTCTCTTCTCTTCAGGCTTGCCTTCCTTCTTGGCAGCTTTCTTCACCGTTGATCCCAAAGAGGTGTCTGCCTTCTGTGCAGAATCTCTGCCCGGCATACTATCAGGTAGCTGCATGAAGAAGAGCTCCTCCCTGCCAGACAGGCTGAGATTCTGCAGCAGCTCTGCCACCGAGGGCTGCTCCGGTTTGGGCAACATTGTTCTGCTTTGGCTTGAGGGTTTGAATGTAGAGCGGCTCTCTGGACCTGCCAAAATGACAACCACAAAAGAGATAAAAAACATTGACTGGCAAAGTGACACTTCTACAGGCAAGGCAGTTGCATGAGCAGTAGTCAGGTGGGGAGGAGGTCTCACGCATTGTGGTGGCACTCAGGGTTTGACACAGAGGCAGCTGGGTGGGTTTCAGTTTGGCATCGTTCCTTAGACCAGGGTCATCTATGAACTGTGGGTACAACAAATAACATTAGGTAATATGGCCAATAATGACACTGGGTGATTGTAAGCACTTTGGACTAACCAGAGGGTCTGTCATTACAAACTAAAGCAGTGCAGATAAACATGATACCGTAATCCTGTGAAACAGCATCTTTATTGCTTACACATAAGAAAGTAAATGGCCGGATTGAATTTCATAAAAAAAACATCTGCCAAATTCTCCTCTGTCCTCCAGGGGTAGGTAAACTCTTTATTGTGTCAGTAGCAGGTAAAACTCCCAAAACAGTAACGTAAACCTTATTAAGCCTTTGTGGAATAAGAAACCATTACTCTAAGAAAAAGACTGGGCAAAAAGCTACCTTCACTGGTTACCAGTCCTCTGCCGCACAAAGAGCTAAACACTCATCAACATCCCGACTGTTTGTTTGCTGTCCTGGCTCTTTAATGGTGGAATGAGCTCCCCAATGACAATAGGAAATCACAAAACCCATACAGATAAAAAATACAATACAGTGATCCCTCGCCACTTCGCGGTTCACTTATCGCGGATTCGCTATTTCGCGGATTTTCATATTGCATTTTTTTTTTTTTTGGTGCATTGTGCTCTGCATTCTGATTCGCTAAAAACTCACTCCCGAGCCGTTCATTACAGTTCTCCAACGTAATCGATGGTGGCATGTCGGTGTACAAGGATCTTTTTGCAAAGAAGAAAAAAGAGCGACAACAGCTGCCTATCACTATGTTCTTCTCCCGAACAAACACACCTGCACCGCGGGCTTCAGAAGAAGAGAACACTGCAGAGCGCAGTCAGGATGCAGCGGCCCAGTCTGAAGAGCAGTGAAACGGCCTACACGCGAGTCACTGTATTTGTATACATGTAATAGTTGCTAATTGTAAAAAAAAAAAAAGTTTTCTATTTCGCGGATTTCACTTATCGCGGGTCATTTTCGGAACGTAACCCCCGCGATAAACGAGGGATTACTGTAATACAAACAATACCTGGACACGGTAGCACTTTATTGACACGGTAGCGCTTTATTGGCACTTACAGTACTTGTAGTACTAGTTTGAAGATCTTGAAGTAAATCTCTTTGGCTAAAAGCGTCAGCTAAATGAAAAATGTAAATTTAATGTAATTTACTTAAAGATATAGCAGGACGTACTCACATCATCCCTCTGTAATTTATTAAGTATCTCATCTTCATCGTCATTTTCCTCCGAGTCCCTTCTCTCTTTCTTTACAAGTTTACACATTGGAGAGGTGGCGCCGTCCTGCAGGTCTGTAGAACCACGCCAGCCTAAACAGAGACACGGTAAGTGCACCTGCTTCTTTGTGCATGCTCAGAAGATATGAAAAAGAAAGCGAAAGAAGCAACAGAAGATGTACCTGTTTTCCGAACGGTGTCAGCAGGACCCTGCTCAAAGATGGAGTGAGACTGGATGATCTGAGGCCTCTCTCTCCTCCTCCCTTTGTTCTCTCGTCTACTTTTATCCCTATAAAGTCTCTCCTTCTTCAATAACACGTGGTTCTCCTCTTTTAACCTCAGGAAGAACCCAACACAATGCTTATAATCACACAGTAGATAACGCTTCAAACTTCCATGATTTAAGAAGAGTGCAATCATCTCACTGACGGCCACTCACTCGTCTTTGCTTTTTCTCACAGCATGGACGTTTGGCTCAAAGGTTTTCTTTGAAAAAAATAGATGAGAAGAAATATTAAATATTTGTTACAGCATTCACAGTCACTTTTTAAAATTAAAAATCCATTACGACTAGTGTTGCACGGTGTACCGGTACTAGAAAGTTATCGCGGTACCCATACGTTACAATACGGTTTTGAATGTTTTTAGTACCGGTACTTTAAAAAAATTAAATTGGAGTGCACTTACTGTTCTGCTCCGTGTCAGGCTGCTGGCACACATTGACTGCGCAGCTCTCACACATGCAAGTCAGCCGTCACTCATAGCGAGTTATCAGGGGAGACGTGCCCTCATGTAGCAGACTGCTCACCCATATACAGCCTAACACGATTAGCCTTAGCCTAGCTTAGCTCAGGAGCAGATGTTTCTGATGTTTGACTGTGTTTGGAAAATTGTTGACTTGCTAGTTTGTAGGGGTGGAAATCTCTTGGCACCTCACGATTCGATTCGGATTCAGAGGTCAACGATTCGATTCTAAACCGATTATCGATTCTAAACTGATAAAACGATTATCGATGCATCTCGAGTTTCTAAATATTCTGAAATCTGAGTTTGCTACTCAGAGGTTGCTAATCACTTCCTACTTTATTTGAATTTATTTGAATTAAAGAAAATCAACAGATGAATTACCTTCTTTGTTACAAATATGATTTTCTATCAACATTACAAGAACCAATGCAGCTTGCATTTCAACACAATACGGAAGTAGCCTATGTAAAAAAAATATTAAAACAGATTCACTTTTCTTTTAAATGAAAAAAAAGCTCAGCTTAGTCTCAGACCAGTCCGTATTTGTAAAATACCGGAAAAAGTCAAAATCTGTGAATATCTTGCGAACTTTCAATACGGATCGACTTTTTGCAAAATCGAAATAATGAGGTAATATATGCGCAGGCTCCTCCATAGTTTGGTAAAGTTGGCAAGATATTCAGATTCAGACTGACGGACCGGTCTGCGAGCTGGACGCATTGCTCTTAATGTGCCGGTAATGATGGTAAATGATGGTGTAGCTGGTTGTCATCTACGGTCCACTACGATTACCGAAGCGGGGCGTTTGTTTTTTGACGAAGTTTTATCTCATAATTTTGACTTTTTATCCCCTTACAATGGGCTTCTATAGTTGTTTGAATGCATCACTACAGCCAATCCACAGACAGGGTTTGTAACCAATCAGGTGTAGAGACCATGGTGACTGGCTCCGCCCCCTTACTGTCAAAAAGAAAAACAGCGAGCGCGTAGAAAACACCTTCGAGCGCGAGCAGAGACTAACTTCGCTAGCGAGGAAGTTCACGTTTCGCGAGGGAGCAAATATCTCGCGCGAGATGGACGTTTGCTCGCGCGAGACGGACTCGCGTAATAAATTGGATGTGTGGCGTGAGTGCGTGTGAAAACATGGAAACACGCGTGTCACACGGGGAAACCGTGAGAGTTGGCAGCCCTGTGGCTTTGTTGGCTAGCTTGACAACACCTTTCCTAACACAGTCAAACATCAAGCAACACAAGACAAAGCAAGACCCCAAATAAGTTCCTGAATAGTCCAGCAGAAATATACACATGCAAAATAACCTACAATTTCACTCATGTGGGCCTATATGATCATGAGGTCAGAATGCACACAAAATTGTACCAAATAATACACACTTGATGCAATAGGCTACATGCTTGTGGAGCCTGAGGGGGGATCTTCACCTAATCCTTTTTATCTTTAGTTAAGGAAATATGAATGTGAGAATATCAAACTAAGTAAATAAAGCATTGCACAGACAGTCAAACAGATACCAGGTAAAAAAAAGAAACCGTACAGATGTTTTATTTATTACTATCATAGATAAATATATTCCATTATCCTATTTGTGGTATTGTATCGTAAGTATCTGGTACCGTAATATTTTGGCAGGTATAGTATCGAAGTCAGAATTTTGGTATCGTGACAACCCTAATTACGACAGAACTGAACTTATGGCCTTTAAACTTTGTTTCTCTGTAGAGCATCTTCCAGCAGTACACTGATTAATATTGAGCATTTAATTGTGCAAAACGAGTTTAATCATTTTCATATCTTTTTAAGTAAAGTAAAAAGGGGTCTTGTAAGGGGTGTAACTTATATTTCATGTGAAGCACTTTATATTGGATTTTTGCTTTAGCAAAACAAAAATCTTATTATAACCATCACATGGCATGCTGCTTAGCCTTGTGTTTGAAGTAACGCTGCAAACCGTCAGTGTGCGGACATGTCAGATTTCTACATAACACGAGGCAGTGCCGTTGCGTTATCCATCTCTTTGCTGAGGCTACCCTACCTTTGCTTTTTTTAACGCTCCCCCCAGCGTTAGGTCCCTGGTTCTGAGTGATGTTAGCCTGGCAGATGGAGAGGGGGAGGAGAGACTCCTGACCCGCCCCGGGAGCCCTCGGCCCGCTGTGAAACTCTGCCCGGTCCCGCTGCCGAGGCCGGAGGAGCCGGGAACACTTGCCGTTTCTCCGGAGTCGGTCATGTTTGTGTACCGGCCGGTCCTCCGCTAGTCTGTAAGATGCGACATGATGTGAGCAGAGGCGAACAAGCGGCCTTCACTGGTAACAAGAGGGTTAATGTTTAATGTAAATCGTCTCCGAAAGCAGTTCCCACTTCCCATCCACATCCAACGGGTTCATGCATGCCAATCAACAGACAGCGTAACGACGACTGTACAACCCTCCATTTTGTTCGCAGTCGCGGTTTAAAAAGAGTGCGCCGACATGCAAAAGTGCACTAACCGAGGCAAACCTGTTTCCGTTCATGCAAATCGGAGCAGTATTTGGTCGTTATATTCGGTGTCGCAGACCCGTCGAGTCTCCTGTTTGCGGCCCTCGAACACAAACTTCACCTCGGCCTCCTCGCGGCCGGAGACGGCGGAGCAGTAAAAAACACATTCAACCAGTAACAACTTAAAAGTTTGCTCTTTGGCGCTCAAATTACTTGCCCAGTTTAAAAATGCAATGTCCATTTTCTTCCGTGCCGAGCTGCCATTGTTTTGCTGAAACTGTCCCACGCGGGTGACACCACTAGATGGCTCTGTTTGTCTTTTGTTTCCGGTGTCCACGACGGAGGCTCTTGTTGATTTAAATGTTCCTATTTTCCTATAGTACATGTATACTTCAGAGAGAAATCTCCCAGCAATTGCCATATTAAACATTCTTCTCTACAGTTAGTTTTGTAATGTAGCCTACAACTTGTATTTCTTTAGTGAGGGTTTTTATTTTTTAATATTTTTTGTAGCCATTTTTTTACTTTATGCGTTGATAAGGAACATTTAATCTATTTGTAGCCTTTAGTCCAGTAGTATATACAGTGCTGTGAAAAAGTAGAAGAAACTATGAAGTGGGCAAAAAGTATTTGCCCACTTCCTTGTCTCTTATACTGTAACTAAGATACATGGACTATACATGGAAGAATATCTTCTATATAGGCTGGCCCTTCCTTTGAAGGTTCCCGACTGTCTCCCAATGCACAACTCTTGGCAGGACTCCCGATCTGTTTTGTTACCACGCTGACATATCAGTGAGGAGGGTAGGACAGCTGGTTGAAGGCGTATTGGACCAACTGTCCTTTTTTAGGCAGCTATATAGGTTCCCCTCAGGCACCGTTTGGATCTTTTCTATGCTTTGATTTCACTGATGACTGAACACCAGCAAGAGACACCCCAGCTCCACACCATGTAAGTGGAAGATTGGGACTACAGAGGACTTTCACATTGACATCCGACGCCTTCTCTGTCCAAGTCATTTTTATTCAAAACAAAACCAATGAGACAGTTTTTTAAAACTTATATATGCTTTGATAACTCAATTGTGGTTGTTTTAGTGTATCAGTCTGACAATTCGCTAACTGTGCTCCTTTATTGTAATGTCTGTGGTTCGATAGACACAATGGTGCAAAGTAAATGTACATTCCTGGACTGCTGTACCCGTGGCTTCACTGATGGCCCTGTTAAGATCTGGGCTCTACCAGGTACTAGGATTTGGTTGAACAGGTAGGACAGCTGGTTGAAGGTGTATTGGACCAACTGTCCTTTTTTAGGCAGTGTGGCAACCCACGGGCACAAGAGAGCAGCACAAAGGGCAGGGGCACCAACGAGCAAGAGGTCAGGTGACCAAAAGGGGAAACACCCCGCCCCCTCAGGAGACAACGAGCGGCCCAGGTGCAGCTCATAAGGCGTAGAAGCTGGCTTAATGCCAGGGTTTGTTTGCAAGAGTGTTAAAGCCCGTTTTTTTTGTGCTTCCTGCAGGAAGGAGACTGAAGGCCGAACGAACCCGCTGAACCTCACCCTCAAAAGAGGAAGAACCTAATTTTCCCTTTTTGGTTACTTTGTACGTCACAATAAATCGTACCCTTTTCTTGTGCAACTAGACGTGTATCTGAGTCCGGTGATTCCACCCACACCCGTTGGTTGCCACATATGGTGGAGGATGCAGGCATCTTTAATTCCACCGCCATAACCCCGAAGACCACGGACCATGGGAGAAGCAATGGAAGCCGCAATGGCCAAGCTCCTCCAAGCCCAGGCGCAGCAGGTACAGAGCATGGCAGCCCTTCAGGGGACATTCGACAGGCTGGCCGAGAGCCTAACCCCGAGGGCCCCTCACGCTTCTCCAACAGCTTTACTCACCAAACAGACCCCTGTAGACAATGTGGAGGCCTTCCTCAAGGTCTTTGAATGAACGGCAGAACATGAAGGCTGGCCGGAAGACCATTGGGTGCACATCCTGGCGCCTTTTCTGACAGGAGACGCCCAAAGGGCATACCAAGACCTCGGAACAAGGGAGGCGACAGACTACCCAACGGTGAAGGGGGCCATCCTCGCCTACTGTCATGGGGTGATAGCCAGAACGAGGGATGGACTCAAAAGCGGGATTCAGAGAAATAAAAAGACTGGGAAAAGAGGGACTTAGTACGGGATCCGTGGCCGAGGAAGATGCTGGAGAGGCAGAGAGGCACAGGGGTCCAGGCGGCAGGAGCAGTGCGGTAGATAGAATCCACGCTTGAGGGAGAGGTAAAGATCCGGCTGGCTGGAGGAGTTCCCCCAAGCCGCGGAGGGCGAGAGGGGAAGCTGGGGAATCCGTCAGGCTGGGATGGTCAGTAAGGAGGCACCAGGTAAAATCTTTCCTAGGGTTGGTGGGGTATTACCAGAGGTTCATTCCCGCTACGCAACCATGGCGGCCCCCTTGCATGACCTGACGAGAAAGCGGGGGCCACACTGGTTAACTGGACCCCGAGGCTAACGGGGCATTTGAGTGCCTACGACAGGCTTTGTGCACCGGTGCTAGTAACGCCTGTCTTTTCCCTCCCATTCCTAGTCCATACAGACGCGTCGGAGGTGGGACTGGGGGCGGTCCTTTTTCAGGTACGAGACGGCGAGGAGCACCCGGTGATAGATAGATATTATATATATATATATAAAGCCGAAAGTATCTGCACAAGCTTCGCTACTACCTCCTGGGTCGGAGCTTCACCCTGGTGACAGACCACGCCCCCCTGAAATGGATGGCGCAGGCGAAAGACTCAAACGCCAGGGTCACCCGCTGGTTTCTGGCCCTCCAGGACTACAAATTCAGTGGAGCACCGGCCGGGGAGGGAACCTGCTAACGCTGATGCAGGCGGGATGCTTGTATGTGGGCGGTCCGTCTGGGGTGGGGGAGTTGTGGCAACCCACGGACACAGCACTCTGGACAGCCCCTCAAGAGAGCAGCACAAAGAGCAGGGGCACCAACGAGCAAGAGGTCAGGTCACCAAAAGGGGAAACACCCCGCCCCCTCAGGAGACAACGACCGCGGCCCAGGTGCAGCTCATAAGGCTGATGAAGGTTGACCACACTATAAAAGACCAACCATTCCAACAGCCCAGCAGACAAGACGTGAGTAGAAGCTGGCTTAATCCCGGGGTTTGTTTGCAAGAGTGTTAAAGCCGGGTTTTTTTGTGCTTCCTGCAGGAAGGAGACTGAAGGTCGAACGAACCCGCTGAACCGCACCCTCAAAAGAGGAAGAACCTAATTTTCCCTTTTTCGTTACTTTGTACGTTACAATAAATCGTACCCTTTTCTTGTGCAACTAGACGTGTATCTGAGTCTGGTGATTCCACCCACACCCGTTGGTTGCCACAGCAAGTCTTTTCAATTTGTGGATAATGGTTCTCTGGAGTCCCAAAGCCCCAAAAATGTCATTGATTAAAGTTCATTCAAGATTTGACACGGGGAGGCCATTACATTTTCATATAGGGCCACGTTGTCAGGATCCGGGTCTCTCTCTCTCTTCCCCTCTGCCATATACATTCACTGACACACTCATTTGCCCATTAGTCTCACCTCTGCACACACATCTCACATAGCCTTCCCATCCACCTGCCGCTCATTTCAATCAGTGCCCGCGCCGTTTGCTGTTACACCTGTTTCTCGTCATGTCTAATCACCTTGTCTATATCTTGCATGTGTTCCCTTTGTGTCTTGTCGGATTATTCTTGTGAGTCAACCCTTCCCCTGTCCAGCAGCCTCAAGACCTTCTCTGTTTTGCGCACAGCCAAGTCCTGCTCGTCCGGTCTCCAGCGTCGTGCCGCAGGGGCTGCATCCTGCGGGCTCCTGTCGAGCTTCGTTCTCCAAGGAGGAGGTTCCCCTGTCCCGAGGATTATCTTTCGTTTTGCCTTTTGCCTAGCTGGTCTCCTAGAGAATACATTTTTGTTCTATGTTTTGCCATCGAGCTCGGCTCGCTGTTTCTGTTGAACATTAACATCCTCTTCCTCCTCCTCTGCGCGTGGATCTTTGCCGCCCGTTACCGTGACCGAACGTGACAGAATAATCCGACCACACACTATGGATCCAGCGAGGGAGGAATCCTTTGCCACTGCCGTTGAGTTCCAGGGAGCTATGCTGGGTCGACACCAAGAGGAATTGTCGGCAGCCAGGCAGGCCGTTGAGAGTCTGGCCGCTCAGGTGAACGACCTGTCTATGCGCCTCACCCAGACCCGTTCCGAGTCTCCATTAACACTCTCTCACTCGTCGTCTTCGGAGCCTCGCATCAATAACTCCCCGTGTTACGCTGGAGAGCCGGCGGAATGCAGAGCATTCCTGACGCAGTGTGAGGTGGCCTTCTCTCTGCAACCGCGAACATATGCTGAAGACCAAGCCCGCATTGCCTACGTGATTTCCTTACTAACTGGGCGCGCCCGTGAATGGGGAACCTCAGTTTGGGAGGCTGGAGGTCCCTGCTGCAGACGCTTCCTCCTCTTCAAGGAGGAGATGATAAAGGTATTTGACCAGTCAGTCTTTGGACGCGAGGCATCGCGTCTCTTGACCACCATTCGTCAGGGAAAGAGGTCAGTTGCAGACTTCGCTATAGAGTTCCGAACTCTTTCCACTACCAGCGAATGGAACGAACCCGCCTTGGTGGCCCGTTTTTTAGAGGGGTTGAACATCGAACTCAAGGAGGAGATTTACGCTCTTGGGTCACCTGCCGACCTCGACACGCTGATCGAGCTGGCAATCCGCCTCGATCGGTGCTTTCAACAACGGCGACGAGCTCGCACTGCTGCCCCGACACCTCGAGAGTCATTTCCCCCTTTTGCTCCCGAACCTGAGCCCATGCAGCTGGGTGGCATCCACCTCCGGCCGGAGGAGAAACAACGCCGCCTCTCTAACAGACTGTGCCTTTACTGCGGTGCGGCGGGCCACTTTGCCGCTTCCTGTCCGTTAAAAGACAGAGCTCGCCAGTAGACAGAGGAGTACTGGCGAGCGCGGCGGTGTCTTCATCCTCACCCAGATCCCGCACCACTCTCCCCGCCGTTCTTCGGTGGGCTGGCTCATCTGCCTCCTGTCCGGCGCTGATTGACTCGGGGGCGGAGGGAAACTTCCTAGACGAGAGATGGGCGCGGGAACACAACATTCCCCTGGTAGATTTAGAAAAACGCACCACCATATTTTCCCTGGATGGTGGAACTCTAGCTGAGGTCCATCAGGTCACCAGTCCGGTGAGTCTGACTGTCTCCGGAAACCACCAAGAGACTTTCTTTTTTCGTTTTTTGTTCCCCCCCCTTCCCCCATGGTCTTAGGGCACCCCTGGCTTGTCCAGCATAATCCCCATATTAACTGGGTCAGGAGTACTATTTTGTCTTGGAGTCTTTCGTGTCATGGTAACTGCCTAGTGTCTGCTATCCCTGCCGTGTCTTCTGTCTCTGTGTTTCAGGAGGAGCCCGGTGATCTGACTGGCGTACCGGAGGAGTACCATGACTTGCGGGCGGTTTTCAGCCGTTCCCGGGCCGTCTCCCTGCCTCCTCACCGCCCTTACGACTGTAGTATTGACCTCCTCCCTGGCACCACGCCCCCCCGCGGTAGGCTATACTCCCTCTCACCACCCGATTGAGAAGCGTTAGAGAAATATCTCTCCGAGTCGCTGGAGGCTGGGATTATTGTTCTATCCTCTTCTCCTGCCGGTGCGGGGTTCTTCTTCGTGGAGAAGAAGGACGGGTCGTTGCGTCCTTGTATTGATTATCGGGGGTTAAACGACATAACGGTCAAGAATCGCTACCCCTTGCCCCTTATGTCATCAGGGTTCGAGATCCTACAGGGCGCTAGATTCTTCACTAAATTGGATCTGCGTAATGCGTACCATCTAGTTCGTATCAAACAGGGGGATGAGTGGAAGACCGCGTTCAATACCCATATTGGTCACTTTGAATACCGGGTCCTTTTCTTCGGATTGGCCAACGCCCCCGCCGTGTTTCAGGCACTGGTGAATGACGTCCTGCGTGACATGTTAAACATCTTCGTATTTGTTTATCTGGACGACATTCTAATCTTCTCACCCTCTCTTGAGTTACACGTCCAACACGTCCGTCGAGTCTTACAACGCCTACTCGAGAACCGCCTTTTCGTTAAGTCCGAGAAATGTGTCTTTCACTCGCGCTCTGTTACGTTCCTTGGGTCCGTGATCTCCGCTGGGGGAATCAGCATGGACCCCCAGAAGGTAGGGGCGGTTCTCAATTGGCCAGTCCCGGAGTCTCGCGTTGCTCTCCAGCGGTTTTTAGGATTCGCTAATTTCTACAGGCGATTCATTCGCAATTTTAGTCAGGTGGCTGCCCCCCTGTCCGCACTCACGTCGACCAAGTCAAGGTTTTGTTGGTCAGAACCGGCACAAGAGGCTTTCAACCGTCTTAAAAGTTTATTCACCTCCGCGCCCATTTTAGTCACTCCGGACCCCGCAAGACAATTTATTGTTGAGGTCGACGCCTCTGACGTAGGGGTTGGGGCTATTTTGTCGCAACGCTCCTCCCGTGACGATAAGATTCACCCGTGCGCCTTTTTTTCGCACCGGCTCTCACCCGCGGAGCGAAACTATGACGTCGGCAACCGGGAGCTCCTGGCTATCCGGTTGGCCCTGGGGGAGTGGCGGCATTGGCTAGAGGGGGCCAGCGTGCCATTCATTGTTTGGACCGACCACCGGAACCTCGAATACATTCGCTCCGCTAAAAGACTTAATGCACGGCAGGCCCGCTGGGCTTTATTTTTTGGCCGCTTCGACTTCTCCATCTCGTTTAGACCAGGTTCAAAGAATGTTAAGCCTGATGCCCTCTCCCGTCAGTTCGGCTCCACGGAGGATGCCTCCATCCAGGAGGGAATTGTTTCCCAACACTGTGTGGTCGGAGCGGTGGTCTGGGGAGTTAAACAGACCGTTAAGAGGGCCCTTGCGCACGCCATCAGACCTCCTACTGCCCCCGAGGGGAGGTTGTTCGTTCCCGAGAGCGTGCGAAAGTCCGTACTCGAGTGGGGCCATGCCTCTAAACTATTCGCGCACCCCGGCGTAAAGGGCACTTTAGCCGCTGTCCGTCAAAGATTCTGGTGGCCTACCAGAGAGCGTGACATACGTAGTTTTGTTGCCTCTTGCCCTGTCTGCGCGCAAACTAAATCAAGCAACGCTCCGCCGGCGGGTCTTTTCAGACCCCTTCCCATCCCATCGCGCCCGTGGTCACACATCGCGTTAGACTTCGTAACCGGTCTCCCTCCATCCGCCGGCAACACGGTTATCCTGACAGTTGTCGATCGTTTTTCTAAGGCGGCCCATTTTATTCCACTTCCCAAATTACCGTCCGCCCGTGAGACCGCGCAGGTTATGGTCGATCATGTGTTTAAGATTCACGGTCTTCCCTTGGACATTGTGTCTGACAGAGGTTCCCCAATTTGCCTCACTGTTTTGGAGGGAGTTCTGTCGACTGATTGGGGCTTCCCCCAGTCTGTCGTCGGGATTCCACCCGCAGACCAATGGGCAAGCCGAGCGGACCAACCAGATTCTCGGGCGCATGTTACGCAGTTTGATCTCTCAGACCCCGGCGTCCTGGGTAGATCAGATCTCCTGGGCCGAGTTCGCCCATAATTCTTTACCCTCCTCCGCAACCGGTCTGTCTCCTTTTGAGAGTTGCCTCGGCTATCAACCTCCACTCTTTTCGTCACAGGAGTCTGAGACTTCTGTCCCCTCCGTTCAAGCTTTTATTCAGAGATGCAAGCGCACTTGGAGGAGAGTGAGATCCGCTTTATGTCGCACCAGAACGCGCACTTGTAAGGCTGCCAACCGCCGCCGTGTAACGGCACCCAGATACGTTTGTGGGCAGAAGGTGTGGCTCTCCACTCGCAATCTGCCCACACGCGAAGGCTCACGGAAACTCATGTCTCGCTTTGTCGGTCCTTTTTCCGTTGTTAAGGTTTTTAACCCGGTAACCGTCAAATTAAAGCTGCTCGGTTCGTTACGTCGGATACACCCAGTATTTCACGTTTCGTGTCTCAAACCTGTCATTCGTGCACCCACCCGCCCGCTCCCCCCACCTCTTGACGAGGTGGACTCTATTTATAGGGTTCGCAAACTTCTGGATGTTCGTCCCCGAGGGCGGGGCCGCCAGTTCTTGGTGGATTGGGAGGGGTACGGTCCTGAGGAGTGGCAGTGGATTCCGGCCCGGGACGTCCTGGACCGCTCGCTCATTGAGGACTTCTACCGGTCTCGCCAGACTCCTTCCTCGGAAGCGCCTGGGGGCGCTCGTTGAGGGAGGGGTACTGTCAGCATCCGGGTCTCTCTCTCT